AACTCGTCGAGTTCCTTCGTTTCTCTGAAATATCGAAAAAATCCAACTCAACTCACCGAGTTGTCTCGCCAACTCGTCGAGTTTGCATCACGCCTAGACTTTCAAGGAAAACCCTAACCAACTCGTTGAGTCCCTTCAGTCCATTCTCTCATTCAGACGTTTTTAAGCAGAACTAAGGTCCCATACTCCAGATCTAGCCTTCCAAGGCTGAAATACCACGTAAAGCTGCAAGATTTACGTTCATGCATGGCAACTAGGGCTAAGTTCACCAACCCAAAGCTCAATAAACGGTTTAATACATGAAAGTTGGCCAATAGCTTGATAAAGATTGAATCTTTAGGCCCAAGGGACCTCATACTGTACAGATCTGAAGTCTCATTTTCAAAGCATGCTCAAACAACTAAGGGACTCAAAGAGATGATGGAAATGGCCATAAAATCCCTATAGAAGAGATTTAACAAACAAATGGTTAATGTATTAGCTTTTTACCTCCAAATGGCAGCTAACACTGAAAGAATACTGGATCCAAGGGCTCCTTCTCGTTCCAAGCCTTTTGCTCCTCAAACTCCTTCAAATAATGCACCAAATCACACACTTTTAGCCTCTCTCTCTCTCTCTCTCACAGATGATACCAGCTCGTTTAGGGTTTCTCTCAGGGTGCTAAAATGATCAAGGAGGCGGAATGAAGGGCTTAAGGCTCTTTAAATAGGGTGCAAACCCTGAAAATTAGGGTTTCCACACTCGGCTCCTACTCGTCGAGTTGGGGTCCTCCAACTCGTCGAGTAGACTCTAAAAATCACGAGGCTATCTCCATCTCTACTCGACGAGTTGGGGCCTCCAACTCGTCGAGTTGCCCTGCCAAAATGAAGATAATAAATTAAATATTATACCTAGGAGTCGGGATGTTACAATTCCTCCCCACTAGAATCAGACTTCGCCCTCAAAGTCGTTTCCTAGAAACGACTATGGGTACTGCTCACGCATCTCAGACTCCGGCTCCCAAGTCCACTCGGATCCCTTCCGATGCTGCCACTGAACCTTAACCAAATACACCTCTTTATTCCTCAAGACCTTCACCTTCTTATCCAAAATCGTCACTGGCTTCTCAATGTAGTTCAGGAGATCATCCACTTGAATGTCCTCTAAAGCGACCACTACCGTCTCGTCGGCTATACACTTCCTTAGCTGGGACACGTGGAAGGTGTTATGAATCTGGCTCAACTATGAAGGCAGCTCTAACCGATAATCTACCTTACCCACTCGAGCAATCACCCAGAAAGGACCGATGTATCTAGGGCCCAACTTGCCCCGATTCCTGAATTGTATCACCCCTTCCATGGGGATACCTTCAGGAGGACAAAATCACCGACCTGAAACTCTAGCTCGGATCGTCTCCGGTCTGCATAACTCTTCTGACGACTATGGGCCGTCAGCACCCTCTGTCTAATCTGCTGGATCTGGTCTGTCGTCTTAAGCACTATCTCAGGGCTTCCCATCACTCTCAGCCCTACCTTTCCCAACAAATATGAGTTTGGCACCTCCTCCCGTACAAAAGCTCAAAGGGAGGCATCCCAATACTAGAGTGATGGCTGTTGTTGTATGAAAACTCAGCCAAGGGCAAGTAAGTGTCCCAACTTTCACCGAATTCCATAACACTGTTGGGTTACCTACGCATCAAATACACTCTAAAACTAGGCAGCGGAAATAATCGAAACAATGATATACCTAAGTGTACATGCAACCTATGGATCTATGGCTTCATGCTAATTACATCAACCCTAGAAAACAAAAACATAAGTAAGAAAACATACCTCTTATGATGCCCTTGATCTCCATGCTTGAGATCTTGAACCTCCATAAAGTTGCTTGGATGAAAGGACCCAAACCAGAATCCCTCTAATGGTATCACACCCAATGACACAAAAGAGTAGAATAAAAATAACTAGGAGAAGGGTCAATTTCACAAACCCAAAGGGGTTAGAAATCGTCCCTATGGGAAGAAGAAGAAGGGGTTGGTGAATACTTCAAGCCAAGGTGCAAGGAGGAATGAAATCCCTAAGGCCCTATTTATAGCCTTGGATGCCTCCTAGGGTTTAGTACTCCTTCCCATGTGGGATGGAGGCCCAACCACGAAATTTCACTCCTTTCCCATGTGGGATGGAGTGATTTTCATCCAACCCTAATTCCATAAGGGTTCTGGAACATTCCTGATTAACCAACTATCGATTAATGAACATTCAACCCTTTAATTAATTAAACTATTAATTAATTCCCATAATATATTTCCAAAAATATATTTCCAATTAGTTTCTATTAATTATTAACCATAATAATTAATAAACCAATTTCTCCTTTATTTATTCTACTCAATTTGGGTCTTAAGGCAACCCAAAAGGAACCTGCTATTATTAGAAATATTCCAAATAGTTAATGACATTGGACACTATTCCAACAGTCTCCCACTTGGACAAGTCATCAACTATATGAGGACAAATACTTCTCCAATAATCAACAGAGAGTTAGTCATCCAATGCAACTACCGAACTCTTGATCTAATCAAGATTCAGCCCTTAGATAAGTGATCAACTATCCCTTCGTTCTATGATATCTGTATGAGTTCGAGACATGGATAATGGTCACCATCTCAATAATTCAAGATTATGTTTCCCGATATAGATTTTTGACGACTGCATCTGACTACTAAATTGAACACATCAATTCCAGTCAGGGCTCGGCCAAGCACTTTAGATGTCAACACCAAATCATCGAGGGGCCTATAGATATCGCTTCTCCTATTAAGGCAGAAGGAACGAATAAACTTCGACTGCATAGTTTCTGTCTATTTCATCATGTCACACATGGACATACCCTTTATAACTACCAGTTACGGTTCGCGTTGGAGTAGACCAATGCATAACATAATCATAGAGCAAAACCCCACATGTAACTAGGTTTGAAGAATAGAAGATATTATCGTCTTAGAATTACTCGTGACTAGATCCATGAAGTAATCTCTAAGCGTGGGTTGGTCCAATACTTAAATCTCTATTAAGTACTCACGAGTGTTAGCGCAATCACTATGCTATGTCCAATCAATATGGACAATCCACTAATACTCATGATAGTCTTGAATCACTACTTACTTCCAAAAGTATGACTGACTGTGGACGTTTGAGTAAATTAATACTCGGGAAGTGGGTTCCAAACATGCAAAAGTGAGAACGTAGTGATAGGTTAATTGAAATGACCGAAATTCATCATATATTAAGATCACCACTTAATAATCGCCAAATCAAATTAAAACTTATACCACTTAAAGTTCTCGGGTTTTAAAACAAACCAAACTAAGAGTGCTTAAGCCAATTCATTTGCAAATCTAATGCCTCTCGACTTTGTCTGACTATCAGACTTGGTCTGTGACATTGACTTAAGGAATGGATCGACAAGATTATCTTTCGATATGAATCAATGACTATGATGTCTTTACATTTGACTCACTATCAAATGTGTTGGTACTTACTGAGTATGTTTCATGTGAGCTTGTGTGGCTTGGGATCCATACTCGAGGTAAGTTCACCCAAAGTCACAAGAAACTTCATAAGGACCATCAATGATTGAATTTCAACAAAGATGTCACTAATGAATCTCTTTTAGTCACATTTTCTTCTTTGCAATTTAACCAACTGCAATATACTCCAAGTATGTTAAATCCACTATGGTGTATTACCTGGTACTCTTTCAAGCTAATATATCACCATTCAGTAAAAGCACAAATTCCAACTGTGAACGAAATTGCCTTTATTAGTATGGAACTTAGCATCAATGTAACTCTTACAATGATCTCTTCCATACTATTAAGATAATCTTTTCTGTCCGCCAAGGATACTCAAGAATGTTCTTGATCTCGATTCGTTGATTCTTGCCTAATTGATCTAATCTCACTTGTCATGCTCAAGGCATACGAGTCGTTAGATCTGGTACATGCCATGACATATATGATCGATCCCATAGCAGAAGCATGTGGGACACGACTCATAACCTCTAGTAGAACTAGGACATTAGCATCGCTCAATGTCGTGCCATATTTCACTAAGAACGAACCTTTCCAAGTTCTGCATGTCGAGTTTCCTCAGGATTTCATGTACTTTGGCTTAATCAAACGAATCACTTTGATCTATCTCCATGGATACTTATTATGTACGTGTGTTGTATCTCCCATGTATTTCATAGCGAAACAATTCCCATACAAAGCCAAGCTTTTTACACTTGCTAAGTTAGAATATAGTTTCCTATGAATCGTACATAATCTATGTACAATACAAGAGTGACTACAGTGCTCCCACTAGCACTGACATATATATATATATATATATATATATATATGGCGTATCTATGTTTCTCGAAATTCAAACTCCTTCAAATTTCTCATTGAAACAAGGATTCTAATTACTCCCACTAGCTTTGACATATATATGGTTTATCTTTATTTCTCGAAATTCAAACTCTTTGAACTTTCTCATTGACACTACTAGAAAAACAGCCTTTTACGACGCTCATTGCGCGTCGTAAAAGGCTCAGACGACGCGCAAATGCCCGTCAAGGAAGGCCCTGTCATAAAGAGAGACGACGCGCATTGACGATGCGCAATTACGACGCGCGTTTACGACACGCAATGCGTATCAAGGAAGGCCCTGTCATAAAGGAAGACGACACGCATTCGCGTGTCGTAACCTTACGAGGCGCGTGTTAATGACACGCAATGCGTATCAAGAAAGCCCCTGTCAAGAAAGGCCATGTCATAAATGAAGATGACACACATTTTTGCGTATCATAATTTTAAATGTTTAAAAAAAATATTATTTATAGATTTACTTATTTTCAAATTAAATTTGTATTTAATGTTTCATAATAGAAAATAAAATATCATATACAAAAAATAGAATCCATTGCATAAATTTAATGTCATACAATTCTATTTCTTACAATATATAAATTTGCATCTAATCTACTATGTACATCAAATTCCAACTAAGTAAAGTTGCATCTTGCCTTTCATAATTCTTTAAGACTAATGCTCCAAACAGCTGATTATATGGATAAGCAGTTGTACATTGGCCCATCTCACTCAATAATGACTTAGCCAAATTCAACTCCAAGTCTTTACTGCATCTTGCTGATAATGCTGCAAGATTTAAATCAAGTGGCTTCATATTCCTTTCTTCCATCAACTTTACCTGATGCACAAAATACACAGAAACAAAAAAAACACACAAACATGATTAATGACTAATACAATGTATGCACAAATCCTAACTAAATTGACTTTATTTACCCCTTTGCAGATTCTAACTACTAATACTAATTTGTTATTGCTAAAAAGAAAAAAAGTCACCTGTTCTTTTAATTCTGGAATATTTAAACATGCAGTCAAAATCCCAAGAGCAACATCCATTGTAGAGGCAAGTTCATTTTCAAATTTTCTATGTCTATCAGGACGTGCAACTATTTTGTAATTAAAAACTTCCTGTTTTAAAGCATAATAATAGATTATTAGCAACTCCAAAAACCAATTTAATAATAATATAGATAAGCTTCCGGTGAATTTTAAAACCTCAGGTAAGACTCTGAGTAGTTCTAGGAAACTTGGAACGATATCAGGATTTGAGTTCATCTCCCCAATCTTCAGCAGGAACTTCAACAGTCAATGCAGCAACAGCAAGACTCTTCAGCTAAGTCCTTTGCATAAAGAAAATACATGTCAGTTTAAATATTTTTGGAAAATGACAAAAAAGAAAGGGAATACTGAATACCTTGACAGCATCAACATTTTTTGCTTCATATCAGCATCAACATTGTAAGAAGTGATTGGGACAATTAGGCTCTGTTTCAACCATTTGGTTTTGGTGTAATTTCATCTGAGGTATGCAAATTAAATATTAAATATAAAATATAAAATATAAAATATAAAGTATAATATATAACCCTAGAAATGAATCAAAAAAGTTACTGATTACTCTTACTTTGAGAAATTTTTCAGAGACAGGTCCATCATTTTCAGCCATTGACAATTCCTGGACAACTTTTTCAAGTCCTTTGCTAACTGCTGCTGAGAAATTTAGAATAGAACTGGAATTTCTACAGAAATTAAGAATTTATAAAAGGGGACAAAAGGGGAGTTGGGAAATACCTTTTCATCATCTTGTAACAATTTATATATTCTTGCCCATAGCCCCGCCTTTCCATGAGCTGCAATCAAAGTCATAATTATGGTTATGCCTTTGATTTGAAAGTGGCATACTGTAAAAACTCAGACATGGCTATAATGGAGATAACAGGGATAGATATATATACCTTAAACAAATTAGCTTCCAGATCAGATTGAGAGCTGCAAAAAAACTAATATATGTTAAGGTAGTATTTGGAGGATGTAATATGATGACATACACGTCCAGAAGGCTATTATCTATGAGCTTGACCAACACCAAGGGCATTATTGGTAGAAATAATGTTACTATTTGTAGGGTTGATAGGGATAATGTCTCCTCACTTTGTTCATGTACTGAAGCTCCCTGTTGAATATATTATGTTTTTCTATGCATATGGGAACATGGGGAGGAGTCCTATGGGGGTAGATTTGTCATTTGACATACCGGTGACTGAACTGGAGGTGAAGACAAAGCATTTTCATGAAATTTTTTGTTCATATGAATTCCTTCTACATAGGGCAATTAAGCCAACTAACTTGACTAAGTTGACATGGTTTCTAATTGGAACTAGTTTCTAGATGATGAATGGAATATAAATTCAAGTAGGGTTTTGAAGTTTGAACAACAGATATGTTGTTACCTTAACGAAGCCAGGTGGACCAATGATAACAAGATCTTCAAGTGCTTCTACTTTGTTGAGGCATTCCAAGAAGGGTGTTGCTTCCTTGTTGTACTTGTTGGAATCTCTGCAGAAATTTCTCTCTTTGATCTGGTGCTATTTCAGTTCTTCCACGGAATTGTCCCTATTAAAAAAAAATTAAAAAGTATTTTAGTTAATGTAGATACAATGTATAGTATAGCAATATATATAGCATACCCCTTCATGTTGAGTTTGGAAGGAACTACCAGGTCTCCACTGAATGCCAGGAACACCAGAAGGTGAAAAGACTCTTGTGCCCATGCCACCACCCTCACCACCATTTCCATTATCACCATCAGTACTTTTGACACCACTTTGTGGCAACATCATTCTGCTACTCAAAGATGAAACAGGAGGATGCTGCTGAACCATTCTCTCATCTGTCCCTAACATAGGCCTCTTAGCCATTTCAGAAGCTTGACCAACACCAAGGGCATTATTGGTAGAAATAATGTTATTATTCGTAGGGTTGATAGGGACAGTAACTGAAGATTGACTTGTCAAACTGGTCAAACTGGTCAAACTGCCCCTCCCGAGATTCCTTAATCTGGATTCACTAAGGGCAGGAGATGATTTACGAACAGGGAATCCTCCGACTTCTTCTTCCTTGTTTATAGGTGAGGAAGGGATGGTGGAGACTGAGACTGAATTGTCTAAAACGCCCCTCACCGGACTTGGACTTGGAGGGACTGAAGAGGTGGTGAGATTATGAGATGGAGTGGGGACAGTAATAGGGGTTGCGTGGGTCCCGGATGGTGTTGGAGGAGATGATGAGATGGCAATGGCTTTTGGAGGTGGGGTCCGTGGCCCATGCTCTGATATATTTTCTTGAGATAATGTCTCCTCAGTTTGTTCCTGTACTGAAGCTCCCTGTTGAATATATATATATATATATATATATATATATATATATATATATATATTTTCCATAAATCAAAAAGAATACACAAAATCATGTCTTTCTATGCATATGGCAACATGGGGAGGTGTCCTATGTCCTATAATGAAGCTGACAAGGTTATTCCATTTCCTTTTCTTTTCTGTTGTTAACCTTTGAACAATGTTCCGGACATATGAAGAATTATTATACCTTCGGATATGCATTGATCAGTTGTAATCGCTTAAAGTAACAATGTTCCGGACATATGAAGAATTATTATACCATAATGACCTGTTCTTTTTAGTATCCTCCAAAGGGTACACTGAAGATGATATGTAATTTTCCTCCAAGATTGTTTTGAACAATGGTGTGTCCCCAAGGGCAATGCCATGATTTGTTGCAACTCTTTATGTTGGATAAGAAATTGGAACTTGAATCTTCATTGCCTTCTGTAATCAAAAGACATATGCAACTTTTCATAAGAAATACAAATTCATTTAGCAACTTTTTCACAAATCAAATTGAGAAGTATAAACTAAAATGAGGAAGTTTTACCTTTGTCTTGCTCTGTTGGGAGCTCCATTACGACCCCTGTCCTGCTTGCTTCTCTTATGACCCCTGAAGTCCAAAGTCGATTCATGAAGTCCAAAATCGATTGCAAGAATGGAACTGTAAGGATGAACAGATGGGGTGATTAAAGGCGACGATAATTTTTTACTGAATTTCTTTATTGCGGGTCTGCTTTTACTTAAGCCCTAATTTATAGAATCGATGCAATACACTGAAACTTTAGCTCTAATTTATGCCAATGGTTTATAGAATTCTGAGATGGGAACATAGAAGGAAACACAAATGACCCAAAAAATATTTGAACATGCTGAAAACGATGCCAAAGAAGAAAATACCTTCTGATGGGTGAGTTGTGCCCGACGGCTAGGAGGTCGTAGAAATTGAGAGAAGGGATCGAGCACATAGAAATTGAGAGAAGATATCGAGTGATCCATGAGCAACCTTTTAGCCAAATAAGGATACCAAGCAGCTCGAAGCCTAGAGCCTTAGAATTAGGTGAAACACAATTTTCTTTGGGAAAGTGGCGAAGCCTCAAACCTGCAACACAAATGATTCATAGGTTTTAGGGAATTTCAATTAGATTGTACACATAGGGGTTTTGCTACTAAATTCTGAGAGAGAGAGAGAGTAACAGTTATATCTAAACATAGTCGTTACTTACCAATAACATATTAGAGCTTTAAAACCCTAATCTTGAAGAAATTATGAGGAGTCTTTGAAATATGCTTCTACTTCAGTCTTGAGTTCTGCTAGAAGGCAGAAGGAGGTGTTCTCGCTTGTGTGTGTTCCCGGTACGTCTACAGAGACAGAGTTGAGGAAGAGAGACAAATCGATTTATTCAGAAAGCGTGTTAAATTTTTTGAAGAGATGGTGGGAGGAAGCGTGAAGTCAAAGAAGACAATGTTTGGGTGATGTGATCTTATAAACAGGAACTAACATTTTGATAAATGTTAGATTGATACACACAGACCATCTGGAGAATGTTGAAGTGAAAAAACCCTAGTTATCGTGTGGGGGACTTTAGGGTTATTTTGGGATGCTAAGGGTCAGTAGAGGGAATAAGGGATAATGAGAGAGGATCGAAGGCGGGGGTTTTAATTTTTTTGGATTCGATTTACCGCCTTGGCTATTAACAAGCGCGTTTCATTAAAAATTATAAAACGACATGCTTAGATGACACCCATTTTAAATAAGCGCCCTCCGTGTTTATTTTTCTGACATTAATTGTAGGGCACGCATAAATGCGTGACCTCTATCCTTCAAATTTTAGAAGAGATTACATTATTTTTAGGGCGCACGCTTTTGCGTATCGTAAATCACTACGTGTCATTGTTGGCGCGTCATTAAAGTGCTGTTTTCTAGTAGTGTGGAATAATGATCCATCTTGCGAGATGCTTATTTCGGTCCATAAATGAACTTGTTAAGCTTACACATCCTTCAAAATCTATCTTGGTTTAATTATGTGTTTGTTCCTATCCATGTTTATCTCTTCTTGAAGATCCACTTGCACTTAAGGGTTAAGGTCAAGTGTTTGATCTACCAAATTATACATGGATTGAATCTCGCTTTCCATTTCCTCCTTCTCTGTTGTAGCCTTTAGGGCCTACCATAGCTTCCGATAGCTGGTACACTCTGATTTCTCCACCCAGTGAATCATTTACCTCATTAATATAAACTCTTATATAACTAGGTTCATGACGTCTTCTATCAGATCTATAAGGAAAAAGTGGAAATATGTCGGTTTCCTTAATAGCTCTTTAAATTCCAAATTGAATGCTATCTCCAACTTTAGGCTCTTCGTTGGTTGACTCTCAAACCTTATCAAGAGCAATCTGGCTCCCACTAGCCCTTTTGGAAATCAGCTCCCTCTCTTGGAAGACCGCCCTTTGAGCAACATACACTTTGTTCTCAGAAGGATTGTTAAATAGTTATCCAAAATGCTTGATGGGTTCTCCAACGAGTTAACACATCTCTATTCAAAGTTCTAGATTGTCGAGCGCTTCACGATGAGTGTAAGCCTCATAATCGTAGACTTACATACATGGCAGTGAGGATAGAATCCAACTTCACATATAATAGAGTGTTTCAAGAACCTACTTAGTTGGCACAAGACCAAAGGACTTCTTGTAACACTATTCATGGTACAATACACGAATTGTTAGTGTGCATAATGCGACTCATCTAGTACAAAATCAATGAATGATTTGTTTCTATATCCAACTAACACTTCCTAGTGGCAGTGTTTGGGTGGAGACAGATCGTGAAACTCTTTCACAATTACTTAGATGATTGATAAAGTTTGGATTGAGATTCTCACTATAAGTGTCTCATCCTATTGCCCAATTGATTCTGAACTTTGCTTTATGAGAGCTCTGAACACCTGAAAGGTTCCAGACTCACACTCATACGAAGTTGGTCTCACCATGTATCGTGGTTAATCTGAACGGTCTATTAGAGTGAACTAATTCCAACAGATACTCACATCACCCAGTGATGCATTCATCATCTATCTTGATAAACAAGATTTGCATTTATCATAAGACTCGAGGTCAAATGATATCCAAAATCTGATCCAACCGGATATTTGGTAATGCATTTCTCATTTATGTATCCAAGACTATGATTCCACAAATACATTTCACCCAAAACTTTGGATGTATTTGAATAAGTACATACTGTGATTAATCTGAACGGTCCATTCACAATAATACACCTTGTTCAAATATTTGAATCAACTTTGAACTATTGTTACTATACTAGTTTCATAGTATAAACAATTTCAAATTATAACACCATAGACTACACATTTGAAAAGAGTTGTCTTTTGATCCTATGAATGTAGCAAGGGCTTGGCATTCATGATCAAATTATCTTCTCCATGTTTTAGTCTTCTTACTTCATTTCAGCAACGGCACATTCTTGCAAATGTCAGTTCTAAAATACTCAAGGTTCGGAAGTAATGTTTTGATGGCATTATAAATCCATATATTTGATTGGACATCAAACATGGAAGAACAAGTTATCTTTTTGATCTTATGGAAAGTAGCATGGGCTCGTGACCCATGATCAAATTTAACTTCTTCATGTTTCAGTCCTTTCTCCTCAAATATACATTTGGGCAGGTTTGCTTTCTTAGTCCTTTTCTTGTTATGGAAACAAATAGCTATCACAACATGTCTCAGAATAGGCCTTCCTTTGTCCTAGGTGTTTGGGCCTAGATTAGGTATACCAGCACTAATCGCATTTTAAACCATGGGCAATTGGCTTTCTTCTTCTTGACACTTCTATTCATGATAATAAATTATGGGAGTGTTTTGAAGTATGAGTTTCTATGATTGGCCATGTTAGTTCCAAAAGGAAACCTCAACATGTTACACAACTCCTTCATGGACATTCCAAGTTGTTCATATCAAAATCAAAATGAATTGATCATACGTACATGTTGGCTAGTTGACTAACCCTAGTCAACTTCTAACTCAAGGAAATTCTATTTTACTTCAATATGTCAATTTACAACGTACATTTGATAATTGCTCTTTCTAACAATTTAGAATGCAATGTTTAAAGTAACCTAGGAAGAGCTTTAACAAAGGCATGATCTTTCCTTTCGTTTACGAGAGCTATTCCCAAACTACGAATTTTTTGACAGGATTGATCATCCTCATAGCTAGTCCTTTCAAAGGTTTTATAGCAATAGATTTTAGTGGATAAGGTTATAGACATCATTCAATGACAAATTCCATTATAGTTTGTTTTACTTATCCTTATAAAATAATCACCCTAAATAAAATTATTTTAGAACGCTAGGATCCATATTTGGCTCCATGATGTGTAAAGGGATGCGATAAACACACCATAAAGTTATTTAGGTAGGCAAAGCCCTTTGCCAATTTCGATCACTACGAAATTCCTAGATCTTTGAGATTCATTGACTATCAATGGCATGTTAATCTCGGATTATGTTCATCTCAAATTCAATGACAGGGTCGCCGCAGATCATGAAAAGATGGTGAATCGACCAT